CGAAAAATACTACTAGAAGCTAGATTCCTAACTGGAGTTTAAATACTTCTTTGTCTTGGTTTTTGAAACTCATTTCATATTTTGTCAATAGTATCACTACCAGTAGACCTGGCATCGTTAGTCATTTATTAAATGCCTGTAAAATGCCTCGTATTTATAGTTTAAATTCAAAAGAGTATCTAACTTCAAATCTGGTTTTAAAACCTTATATTCTAGAAGGGGGGAAAAGTGACTTGGCAAATTAAAGAAAAAGCAGGCTAGAGAAGAACCAATGAAATAGTAGAGGAATAAATGTAACCTACCATCACTAATAGTAGAGCTGACAGGTAAATGTAAGCCAACAATATTTTGCAGTGGTTTTAAATAGGCATGATAATACATGCAAATAGATGTAAATACTTTCTGTATGTTTCTTGTAAGGCGTGTCGAAGGTTGGCAAAATCCTTTCTCCATCTGTCAGATGAGAATCTGTCCTTCAGTTAACTTTCTACCTCTGTCCCTGGCAACCTGATAAGATAGTGTCTTAAATTGGGTTTCCCAGGTAACAGATTTTGAAGTTGCATGCAGGAAGTTCATTGGGGAGTTTTCTAGGGATCCTCACTTGTAAGGGAGTGGGGGAGAGGGAGGGAAGGAATTTCGAAGGAGGATCTGAACTGCCCTGCCATACAGTCACCACAAAGGCCTCATTCAAATCTATGCCAATCTCTGCATCTGGGATGGCTCTTTAGAGATGTCTTGCCTTGAGGTAAGAGATAGGGCTCTTATAGATCCACATTATCGCCAACAGTCACTGGATATAAGTTGCCTCAGAAGTGGGACTGTTGATTTAAGCAGTTTAACTTTCTTTGGGTGAGAACAGCTCCCAGTCAGTACCTCAGTTAGAGCTAATCAGGGCCAATCCTCCCACAGCTCAGGAAATGAGTGCCATATAACTAACAGGAGTTCTGGGAAACATACTACACCATCCACTGTGGGTGGTTGGTAGGCAACATTGTTTAGAAGAGATATGGGCTATACATGCTATAGCTTTGGTCTTCCCTGGGGGTAGTAATTCTTATAATTGGTCATGTTCCACATAGGCAGGAACCCGGGAAGCCATGCCTATGGAGTTGTTGCAAGAGGTATTGGCTTTTGTGGGGTGTAAGACTTTTAAGTCAGCATAACTCATGCATCTGCCCAAGGTGAGTCTGGTTCCCTCATTACTGAGCTAGCCCCCTATGGCCAAAGGACATAAATCCTGGAAGTTCGTGTGGGCTGCTGCTGGATCTACTGGGAGGCTCTCACCAAAGTTGTTGTCCTAAAGGCAACCTGTCATTTCTGCCCTGTATTTTGCAGGGTCAGTGACTGTCAAGTGTGACCCAAATTATTTACTTACACTTATAGGTGACCCCATAAGTGGATATTATAGACATTTTTTTTTCAATCGGTTTTCACTTTTTAGAAAATTTGCTTTTAAAACCTAAAACTAATGAATAATGTAATGATCTTAGAGTGGTGCTGAACATATTTAAGTACTTAGGGCACATGAATACTTAAGGTTTCCTTTTGCTACTGCTGACAGGCCATTATTAAACAGATGTTGTCTCCCTAGAGTATAGAAAAGAATCAGCTATAATACTGATCTCTGAAAACAGTAGTTTTTATATGTGAACTGTGGAAAGAACTGTTTGTTCTTAGCTCTCCGTTAGTCAGAGATAGGTCATTTGGGCCTGGTTGACAGTTTCCCTCATATCCTGTGAGTCACAAAGTTTTGCTACTTCTTCTGTTCCAATGACTCATTCCATCCCTTCCTTTCCATTCACTCTGCTGCCACCCCAGTGGCATTTATAGTCTTTATCACTTTATATTTTTGGATTATGGAGCATGCCGCCTTGGAAGTGCTCTCTGCCTTTAGGTTTTATCTTATCTGCGCTGCATTACCTGTGAGATCCCAGTCAGTCTACGTTCCACGATAGAGTTTTGTCTATCGTTTTCAGACTGTTAATGTGTAAACCACATTTTCCTGGAGCCTATATAACATCTCAGGAAATAGTGAGAAGAAAGGCTAGAAAGACAGGATTAAAGGGAAAGACTAGAAGAAATGAAACTACTAAGAATCTATTGTAAGAGGACCCGAATTGAGGTGGGAATGGAAAGGATAGGACAGGTATGTTCTCAAAGAAGAATTGGTGATTGTGAGAAGAAAGCCAGGAGAACCTCAGTGAGGTCAGATCATATGGATTTATAATGTGTCCATTGAACTTGGTGTCATGAGTAGAGAATGTAATACTCTCACATACTACTGCCCCTTATGTCTTTATGTAACACCTTCATGAAATTGAAAACATATTAAAGAGCAGGATCATGGCTTGCTTCTTCTTGTCCTTAAACACCCACTTCCAGCACAGAGTATCATGGGGACAGAGTAATTTATTCTTCTGTATATGTCTTTATTCTGTCAACATGTAAAAGAATATTTATTACCATCACAGGTTTTAAAGAGTGTTAGTTCTGCCAGCCATAGCATGTAGAAACTCTGTTTTGTTTTTACATTTATTTCTCTTTTTATGGGGGTGGTGGTGGTGGTATTGGAAATAGGATTTTTGGCATTTTTTATTTTTCAATTATACAATAGTTAACTATTTTATTGTTTTGTTTATTATTTTGTATTATTTCAGGTGTACAACAAATACTTCACAAATTGTCTCGACCCTCCCCGATATTTCCAGTACCCACCTGTCACCACACATAGTTACCACAATTTTATTGACTATATTTTCTATACATTTCTTTCATTGTGAGATAAAATTATGAATACCAGGTATCTGGGTTTTGTCTGGATTGTCTGAATTTAGACCTGTTCTCCCAATACAATTTGTATTTCTGTATATGACTACAAGGTTGTAAGTAATCATCCTGAAGATAAATATTTTTTCATTATTCGTTTATTACCCTAATATTTAATGAACAAGACACAACTCTTGGTCTCAAGAATTTGCTAATCTAGCAAGCGATTAGCAATAGAAATCACTCAGTGCAATAATGGGAGCATCCACAAATTGTGGGACATTACCTCTTCTTGGGGAGACTTTTGATAGAACATGATGTCTCATTTGAGTTCAGAAGGTAAGTCGGAGTTAGTAGGTGAAGGGAGTGAGTGAAGTGAGGGCATGGCACAGGTGTCACTTTGGAAACAAAGGAAATAGTCCAGAGGCAAGAAAAGTATGGCGCAGATAGGTTACTGCCAGTTGTTTCCTGTAGTTGGAACACAGCGAATGTTCTCGGTTGTCTCTCTTGGTGGGAAATGGGTGTCTGGGATCATTGTGTTTTGCAGGGCAATAATAAAAGACAGAGTTCAAGGTAGAAGCCAGATCATGAAAGGTCTTAATGTCATGTTTCCTGAGTTCGAATTTAATTCTCAGGGCAATGAGGGAATTTTGAAGGGCTCTAAACAGGAAGTGAGTAATGTGGCAACATGATCATATTGTATTTTTGAAAAGTTGTCCTCACTACAGAACTAGGCAGAGGAGCATTTAAATGGCCAATTCTAGAAGCAGGGAAAGTGGGCAGGAGACCATTGCCAACATCAGCGTGTGAAATGATAGGGCTTGAACTAAGCCAGGGGAAATGAGAATGGCAAGAAGTGAATGGATTAAGAGACAATTGGGGACAGAATCAACAGCATTTTAATGATTGATTATATGTGGAGTTTGAGGGAGAGAGAAATAAAATACGATTCTCAGAATTCAGCTGGAGGTGGGGAGCAAAAAACAGTGACATAGGCTCACAGAGAATGTTCTTAGCATAGTGTTGAATTGGTTGAGTTTGAATTATCTTTGGGTCATCCAGAAGGAAATGACTTGGTGTACAGCTCTGGAGAGAAATTTAGGGCAGAGATAGATATTAGGGAACAATAGCTTTTAGGTGGCAAGTGAAACCATTCATATGGACCTTCTTAGGGAACTAATCTTTTGGTGTGAAAGCTTCCAGGCAATATTTGTACAAAATATTTTCATGTTGTTTAGTTTTTAACAGTTTGTTTTCTAATCATTATTATTTAGCTCTTCAGGTTTTTTCTTTTTCACTTTATCCAGGTTTTACTACAATATGTGTCAGTTATAGAAATAAACACAAGAAAATGAAATTATTATAAAACTTTTAGAATTAAAGCAACATGCATACATGTTTTAAGGTTTAACAATTTAGGGAAATGTGAAAGGCTTTGGATTTATATGTTTAGACTTTTCCTAGTTCTAGAAAAATAATTGTATGGAAAATCTCTTTTTCAATGTATATTTTAAATGACATACATAGAAAATTGTTGCTGATTTCTGCTTATTTTCAGCTTACAGAGACATTTAAAAATTTATATTGTAGTTCAGCCGAGACCGGTTTGGCTCAATGGATAGAGCATCAGCTTGGGGACTGAAGGGTCCCGGGTTCGATTCCGGTCAAGGGCATGTACCTTGATTGCGGGCATAACCCCAGTAGGGGGTGTGCAAGAGGCAGCTGATCGATGACTCTTTCTCATTGATGTTTCTAACTCTCTATCTCTCTCTTTACAAAATCAATAAAAAAAAAATATATTTTAAAAAAATTTATAGTTCAAATAATTTAATATAAATATTTTCAGATACACATATAGAATTATACCTGAATTTTTTAGTGTTACAGTTTTATCATAAGACTACTATACTATTCTGCTATGCAATGAATATCCTTAGATATATTTTAATATCTTAGATATACGTAGAATGCACTATTCCCTCAACAATGTGCTTATTTTAATATTTTGTTTCAAAAGATTATAGTAGCAGTTAAGTTTAGTAATATTTTAGTAATAGTATAATACTAATTTATTCTCTAATTTGAATTTTCAAAGTAGTCCTTTTGTATTATTATTTTGAATAATCCTTGACCATCTTATTTCTTATGCTATATGAGCAAGCACATAATTTAATTTTTGATGACTCTGATAGTAATTAGATACAGTATTTCATATATGATCTTTGTTTTTATAGGAAAATGGCTCTCCTGAAGAACATGCCATTTATGTATGGGACCATTTCATAGCCCAGTCGGTGGCCGAGAATGTATTTTTTGTCGCTCACAGCTATGGAGGACTTGCTTTTGTTGAACTGGTAAGTGCACGTTTAACTCTAGTTTTAATCCCCAAACTTCCTATAGGTTTATCCCCTCCATTCCCTTTTTGTTGACATAATTACATTAAATCAATTTGTCATGGATGAAAATACTGTCTTTTGAGTAAATAATTTTATTCCGTTTAAAAAGACTATACTTATTTTATTTTATTTTGGCAGAACTTTAAAATACTAATCAGAAAGTTTTTTGCCTGTTCCTTACCTAATTATAACTTTTTAATTTCTACATTATAACCCCAGTTTCTAGACATTTTATGATATCTGTGTTTCCTGTCTTATGTGTATATCATATATATCTATAAAGTGTTAACATTTTTAAGAGACCCTTTGAATATTTGAGAATATTTTTAATTTTTAAATAATTCTTTATTGTTGAAAGTATTATACACGTCTCCATTTTTCTCCCATTGACCCCCTCCCCTCCAGGCCTTCAGCACCCTATTGTCTGTATCCATTGGTTGATATTTTGATAACCTTTACCTGATTTATCTCTACAAATTAGCACTTGGTTAGAATCTACGTAATTAAAGCTATTATTCTGTTTCTACGTGGAACTTATTATATGGCTGCAAAAATATTTGCATTTCAAAATAAGCTGATTGTTTGAGTTAAGATTATATGTACATGATAGAAAAAATGATTAAGGTTTCTGAATTTTGTCTGTATTATCTGCAATGTGAATGATTAATGAGATATAATCATTATTAAAAATACACTGCTAAAGCATTTGTGCCTTTTTGCCCATAACCCCTTACATCACAGAACGATACTAGTGCTACAATAAAGTGATTAATTTGATTAAAGTCCATTTGATAATTTTAAATCTAGTAGCCTCAAGTGGACATTGAACACAGGCACAGCATTGGTTATCTTAATTTTTATGTTTCTAAACTTTGCTATGTGTTTCTCTTTTCATAGAAATTAGAAATATTTCCATGGCTTTTTAACTTCCCCACACTTTATTGCTTACCCACATGATTTAGATATAACTGGTAATGACACCAGAGAATAGTTTTGCTAATCTAAAATTTTCAAATGCTCATGCTCTCTTAAGATCAGGAAATGAATTAAATTGTTTATTTCTTCAGTTGATTTTACTTTTTAGAAATGACTTCAAGTACTTTTATCTCTGTTGAATTTATTTTAATATATATTGGAAATATTAAGATAGCTAATAAACTGTTAAGGTGACTTTTTAAAATGTGAATGTTTTCTTTTAAACCTACACACACACACACACACACACACTCACACACAAAAGTTTTCATATATGTAGCTTGTGTTTTCTTTGCACACCATTAAATGATTTAAATCATGATATTTCGTTGATTTCATTGACAGAGTAATAAAATATGGCTGAAAGCCTGTAAGACTTCTCTCTCTCTCTCTCTCTCTCTCTCTCTTTAATATTATAAAAAACCTTCAGTACATCATATTTGGAATTTAACTGAGTTTTGGACAGTTTTAAAGATAAACTTAAGATGCCAGAGTAGCAGATGACCAGTGTGTCACCCGTATTTTGCCCGTCCTTCTTGTCACACACTGGTGAATATTTCTCTACTTTTGTTCCACTTTAATATAAAGCACACAGATGTTTCAGAACAAGACTTGACTTCTGACCTTGAGGCTCTTTAGGGTCAGGGTCCTCAGGGCCTGTGAAATTATCACAAGCTGAGCTAAAGTTTTTCTCCATCACAGGAAGTAACCAGTAAGTAAGAAGTTAAAAAGGAGCTTTGTCAGAGAGACAAGATGGTCTCAGTAGGGTCAGCTTCTGTAGTCTGCTGCCTCGGCAGGAGGTGCATGCATGGGAGGAGGAATATAATATAACCAGTGGCACATCACATATCTGTCAGGCAACACCAGGCCTGAGAAGTCTATTTAATGGAATATACCTTGTTTAGGTTTTTAAACATTAATGACAATTATCTCAACTTCATGTACTTGCAACTTTTTGTGAAATAACTTAGATGGGGGTATGTAATGGATTTAGTGGTGACAACTAAAGAAAAAGTGGTTATTGGCCTAATGATATGGATTCCTCTAAAAAACATAATATAGTGCACTGATTAGTTTTACATAAATTTTGACAAAAGTTGATTAATATATAAAGCTATTATGTTTCTACTTAATTTCAAAAGGAATTTTAAAATTCAATGTTGAAAAAGAAACAATAAAAAGACATTGAAATATTTTTCAGGCCTTTATTTTGCTTAAAGCTGAATAATATTACCCATTTTCCCCAATATTCTTAAGAGAAAAGTCATGATGTTTAAAATGTTGAAATATTCACTCAGGATTTTTTTTAACATAAGTGTAATATCTAGAATTACTTTACATAGATTTAAAATGTTAATATTAACTTTATAAGATAGTAAATTTTGAACATCTTGAATTATAGTTTAGATCTGTGTCTCAATAATGTGTTATACATATCAGATATTAAGTCCTTTGGATTTCAATAAAGTTAGACTTTTTAAAAGTGTCATAAAGGTGTACTCAAGTTTAAAAAAAAACAACTCACACACACACACACACACACACACAGACACACACACTCCTTATGGAATAGTCAGAAGTTGTAACATCATGTTTGAATGTATAAAGATTGTTTTTCTACCATCCTCAGGTAAATTTACATTCTTTTTGTTTAGGTCATGGGTTTTAAGAAAATGTATTTTGAATGTAAATTCTGTAGATAGTACAGCTTCAATAATAAATGCAATTATTTAGAGTGCTTACTATTTGAAAAGCAAGTACCAGTTAGGACTTATTCTAAAATGTATCCTGAGGCTTACTAAATTTAAATTGTTTATAATTATAGTTTAAAATTAAATGTATTGCTAATATATATCTGAAAATAAATTACTTCTAAATTTAGAGCAGAAAAAATATTTCAGATCTTTCATATTTTGCTAATTACTATTCTTGAAAACGGAGAACTTAATTTATTATTTTATTATGCCTTAAAGTATTGAATTTCTCCTGAAGAATACATTATAGTTACAAGATTTATTTTCAAAACCAATGTTCATTTTATGGTAGTAAATCTTGGAATATGATCAGGTCCAACCTCATAAAGACAGTGTACAGTTTACTATAATAATGAGAAAAGTGATGCTAAAAATATGCCTTTCACAGCTTTTATTTTTATCAGATGGTAACAGCTCAAGTTTCCAATTCTCTAAACTTTCTGTGATTCCAGTAAGAATGGGTGTTGATAAGATAGCTCTGGAAGCAATTTGAACATTCAGTCATTAGAGGCAAAAGGGAAGAACTACTTATTTTATGAATTGATGATCAATTTTTAAAATTAATATATCTGCCCAATGTTATCTTTTCTGTGTATTTAAAATAATGTCAATATAAAAAAATAATTCCAATATAAAAAGTAACTGTTATTAAACCATCATTTAGAAGACCTACATTTCTGTGTTAGAAATTATTTGATAGAATTAGTTGTCAAAATCAGAATGCATGTACCAAATTCATTCAGAAATACATCTACAAATATTGCAGTTTACTTTTGCCTATATTAGTTGTTTATGTTTTATCTCATTTGTTGGAAATTAACTGTCATTAAAAAACAATGCAGTTGTAAGCTTTTCATCATATCTTTTACCAGCCACTTTGATGAAGTGATTCCATTGCTTCTATTGTTGGTCATTTCAGAATCCTTTGCTCTTGTCTTTGTAGGTGATAGTTTGGCAAAATTAAGCAGCCTTAAAATTTTCTTTTAATTGAAAATTTGTTAGCTTTCCTAGTTAATGACCAGTTTTTAATCTCAGCTCACCTTCCCTTCCTGTTTGCTGTGCTCAGTAAATCAATTTGCATTCATATGTCTTTTCCTAGTCAAAGTGAGTGTTGATATTTTTATTAAACAATTGTAAATATATTTCATTAGTTTATTGAATCATTTCAGCTGATATAAAATTAGTGTTGTTATAATTATTTTTATTTTTTTTTCCATGTTACTAGTGGTATGTACATAACCACCATTAAAAACCTCACTTAGAAATGTGTGAAAACTGTTCCTTTTGAAAGTGCATCTCTACCCACTTTTGATTTCGGTTTCTCCATGCTTGTCAGCACTTGATTGGCACCTTACTTGCATGTGAATTAAGGACTGAAGGGAACTCTGTTTTCCTGCTATTGTTCCATGCTGGGCTCCCTAGCCTTCAGGCAGCCTAAGCTGACCTTCAGCAGTTGATAGAGGACTAGTTTTTGGACATAACTCTATGAGAACACTCAACCTCAGTCTACTCTGAATTGATCTTTTGAAATTGCCTAGGGCAAGATTTGGATTTAGACTGAAGAGAAATGGAATGGGGCTAAAAGAATTAATTTTTACCTTTCATGGCATCACCTAACTATGACCTTAAAGAGGCATTGTTTACATTTTGTCTACAAAGAACAACATAAATTGGATATTGATAGGTTATCCACTTAATGTGATCAGTGGGAATAGCTAAAAGTTGGGCTGTTGGCAATCAAGAATTAAGGAGAGGGGGGATAAACCAAAGAAAAATTGAGCCATAGTAATAGTATAGTAATCCAGACCAAAATGCTTCTTAAAAACCTACTTAAAAACCTATTTTACTAAAAATATAATAAGTTGCCATTTAGAATATAACTTGAATTTCTAAGTTGGCTGCCTAGGTGACATGAATAGGGATGATTACAACTTTTATGGCATGCTATCTTAATTCTCTAATTTTATATGAAAAGAATTTAGTTTTGCTAACTATTCTGTATGGTCTTTAGGGAGAGAAACCAGAGGTTATATTATTGTTTTTCTCCTCTATTGAATTTTATCCCTGCCTTGTATATAGTGTAAATACCATCTCCTGGTTGATTGTTGATAACACTAAATTTAGGAGTTAGTTTCAGGAGTCCAAGTAAGAGCCAATGAAAGATTTTACCAACATAGAAGTAGTGGGAGTGGTGAGGAAGAAGCAAACATTAGAGATATTAAGGGGTCA